AGCACAGCGTTTTGGTTAGTGCTAGCTGCTGCATTAGCTTCACCTGACGTTGTTTCCCCGCGGTTGCCATCTTCCCCATGTTCAGCAGACTTAGTTACCTCCGACTTTTCTTGAGTTTTACTCTTTCTTTGAGTTCTTGTTTATCTTCTGACTCCTTTGCAGTTTCCCTCCTCTCATACTTCGTTTAAAAAACAGTTTTTCAGTACTATTTATATTGATAGGAGGTACTTTTACCAAACCGACTAGTAGGAGCTCACCTCTATGCGTCCATCTTGCTAAACACTGCACTGCCTGATCAATAATTTTTTTATGAACAGCACAATAACCCACAGAGAATCCTCACCAACAGCTCTACGGAGCTTTTTAGCCCATTTTAACTCTTTTCTACATTTTGTTTTAAAAGAATAGTTACAGTTTGGTTCTGTTTCACCACTCACTTCCAGCAGCAGCAGACCGCTGTTTTCACCGTTCATAAGCTGGTGAACAGAGTGGAGCATTCAGCAGCTAAAGAGTCATAATTGTTTTCTCAGGAGTTGGTTGAGATCAAAACAGAGCTAAAGGAAGAGTGAATGTAAGTGAGGAAGGATTTACATTCATCAGGTGGACATGAACACAGCTCCAAATAAATGCTAATTTTGCTCTGTGTCTGCTGGATGTTTAAATAGGAAACTCTTTGCTAACATAAACAGAAGATGCAACTTTAACAATATGAATCGTAATTAGTTCATAATGAATTGTCTCCTATATTATCCTAGGGAAATACTATCCCTATATATCTAAACCAAGCATCATTAGCCATATTCTACGTGTCCTTTAAGGCACTAGGATAATTAAACCAAAGAGCAGCCCATTCCTCTTCATTCCACTCTTCGGTCTTGATCTTGTACCTTAACACTGCCTCGTTCACATCTGTGGAGCTCAGAGGTGCCTGAGGAGCAGGAAGCACTGCTTCATCAAGGCCATAATCTCTCCTTTACTTCCTTACACTCACACACATAGCCACACTTAAGGGGGAGTGCTTACTTCAACTTGAAATATCCAGCTCTAGGTCCAGTGGCAGTCCAAAACAGATAGATAGTAGATATTCTGGAGAAGATTAAAACTACACAGTTGTAATAATGTTTGTTCAGATTGCCCGCTGTTATCATGATAACTCTCCTTTACAATTTTTTTTTTTTGTTTTTTGGGGG